AAAACCCGAGGGCTGTCGAATTATCGGATACTCGACGGATAATTTATGCAAAGGGTTACAAACATTCTGGTTCTTCATAACTAAAGCAACTGAAAATTGTTCGCTAACAATGAAATTAGTTATATTATATTAATGAAAGTGTATGATTCATTGTTGTACACTTGTACAGTAATACGTTTTCTTGAATAAATTTTCATTTCACCGTAAGTGGAAGTATTAAGCGTTATGTAAGAATAAAACATCTGATCATCCTGTCTGACCATTGCCAACTCTTTCTACTTACCAGCAGAAAGCATCTGTGTTCAATATTGCGAACATAATTTCGTTGAAAATAAAATCTTGTGTGAACATATCATAAAGTATCTTACACTTTCAACAAAAAAAAGTTTCTCTCATTTTAAATAAAACAAATAAAAAATAATTTTAAAAAATAGTATATTCGAGGTGTCCATTTGTTCTTATATAACCGTAAGATATTTTAGGTTACAATGTTCGATTTAGAAATGACGTTAAATACAATAAGCTTTTTAAATATTTTTCAGAATTTCCTGAAAGGCTTGAAACCGAACATAAAGTTGCACCCGAAGCTGCCGAAGGGCGAGAAGTCTCCGGTGATACCGATGTCCGAGAGCAGCGCCGGTCTGATCACCAAGAACAACAGTTTTCTAAGTCAAGCATGATCGGTGTGAATCACTTATTTATTCCTAAGTAGGTTGTAATTACCGTAAGTGTAGTATTTTTAACGGATTTTAAGACGCGAGGCCGGTGTACAGTAAATCGTGATCGTTTCATCGTAGAGGACGTTAGGAACGAAGCTCAAGAATCGGCGGACTCCAGTCGCTAGATCGACGATTAATTGTAAAATAGCTTCGAAATCTCAACACGTTGACTGCCACGATTCCAAGCGTTTGTACACCGATACTTGATCCTTTGTAACAGTAACGAATTAGGAACAATTGTTAACGATCTATTATCACAGTAATATTACGCTACATTACTAAATATTTGTATTACCAATTTTCTTATTGCAATTCCTCTGAAGCAATTTGAAAGTTCCAATCGTCAATCATCATAGTGACAGTCAACGTATTAACCCCTTGCATGATTTATTTATCAACTGTGATCCAACTACTTTCTCATTAATTATTTATTAATAAAAAGACAAAGTTATATTCTATATCAATCTCTGCAATGAAGTTTGAACGAAAGAATATTTTGTTTGAATTCAAAAGAATCGAGTTATTCTGCTCGTTAAATTCTCTTTGAAATTATTGAGGCGTCATTAACATATTGCGCACTGGTAACGAGAAATCTCGTTTTTATGTAGAGACACTTAGCTGTATAACTTTGATGATTACCACAGCTGTGATTTATTTTAATGTGTGATTTTTTTCTATTTATTTCAATGTGTGATTTATTCCTATTTATTTCAATGTGTGATTTTTTTGTATTTATTTCAATGTGTGATTTATTTCTATTTATTTCAATGTGTGATCTATTTCTACTTATTTCAATGTGTGATTTTTTTCTATTTATTTCTATGTGTGATTTATTTCTACTTATTTCAATGTGTGATGTATTTCTATTTATTTCAATATGTTGAAAAAATATAAAATTTGACTCGAATTGATTATCTATTTAAAATATATTACATAACAATATATCTGAGTTTCTCTATGTATACTGATATAAGTTGACCTTGAAAATTGCCATCGCACAATTCAGCTCTCCGAAAATTAACCGGTACGCGATGTGTTAAAAACCCAAAAACTTTTGGAAATGCAATATGAAATAATAAAAATTTAAGTAAAATGTTCATGGTTAAATTAGGGTTGAAATGAACGAAAATTCTATTGAAATATGAAATTAAACATCTTTTCAAGTACAATAATATTATTGAAATTGAAAGAAATAATTCTAAGTGCCCAGAAAATGACAATAGAGTATTTCTGTGGAGATTGAGTGTTTTAGATTCCTTGTGCTATTTTAATTGATAATTAGAACTAAAATTGAACCATTAGAATGTGTTAATAGAAAACGCAAGGGGTTAAGTGTCAACAAATAAGCACTCCATTCGCTATGACGTCACGAGTGCCAAGTTCGCCGCAACCGACGTTTGCGCAGCTTCACGTCGACGGTACAATGAACGCCGAACGCGCCGATGCGTTCGCTGGCAACGAAACCGATGACGATCACTGTAACCGGAACACCGACTTCGTAATTCTTGTATTAACCGACGCATCGGTACCATGTAAAACATGTTTACGATTAGGACGAAACGCGGTTGAGGAGGGAAACGAGTCAGTCGACTGTGCGGTAATTAGGTACTACGATAGTGGACTACAATGCTAGAAGAGGTCTATTTTTCCATCGCGACGCGGCTCGCGATGCATGTATAAGAGATTATTAAAGGAAACATAGTTTAGTTGATAGTTTCGCTGGTTTAACGCGAGGGAACACAATGTTTTTTCCAAGAAACTGCACCGCGAACCATGGGAAACCATCCGAGTAGATCTTTCGTATTACATCTTTTCGATCTTTCCGGGACAACCGATTTTTCTACTTTACCGAGGGAATAGATCGGGTCGCAGGATTTCCAAGGGAACCAAGTGTCGGATCGAACTCCGCAGTTTTCATTAGTATTCATTAGTTCTCCGAGTCTTCTAGTCGTTAGCGATGTAAATAGTGGAGGAAGACACGATTAACGCTGGAACTACCAACCACTTGAACTGGTTCTTTCGAATTTCTTTTTGAAACTTACAACCGGGTATTGACACTAGAACTACCGAGCATTTATGATTCATATATAATCCCTATAAAGATTGTACTAGTAAATTATCTTCTGTTTCTGCAGTCATTCATTATAGTATGTAACCGTTTGGGTGCTAAACAACTTTTGTGGATATTTACCAATGCGTAAGTGATTGGGTGTGTGCAAAATTAATAAGAGTAGTTATCTAATGAGATCACAAATATTGTATTACAAGAAATATCAGAAAATAATATTTATTCAAATAAAGTTATCTGGTAGTTCTAGTGTTAACCCTTGCACTCGGAAGTTTGTCATTAGAAATATTTAATATTTTCTGACGAGACGAAGACGATATGAAACTAACAGAAATTACAGGCAGATTGAGAAACAATGCTGTTCTTTCGAATGTTTCACGTATCGAATTATACAATGTTCATTAAATATTAGATTTTATAGTTTTACGTCGAATCAAATGACTGATAGCCACCTTCCGGGTGCAAAGGGTTAAAAATAATATAGAACCACGTGTAAGTCTCGATTGGAACGTTTTTTCAATTTTGAACAGATTTAAAAGTAAGATTCAAGTAAGAAAATCGGCTGGAATGCTTCTAATTACTTGTATATATTGCTCGGTGAATAAGTTTAATTGATTCGAGTAGTGGAAACCATGTATCGTATTGTGTTAACGCGACGAAGTGTGTTTTAATTGATTTTCTAAGTGGTTCTTTTGTTCTGGTACACGTTGAACCGAAAACAAAACATTCGTGCCTCGATGACGACGCTGTAGCTGATGTTGAAATCAAAACTAAACACGATTGAAATAACTGCAAACGATTTCTACCGAATTTTATACTGTTAGGTATATCGATGAGCGATCCACTAGTTTTTTAACACGTTGACTGCTACGGAGAACATCGGTGTTTTACGTGATATTTATTCTTTCTGTAGCAAAGATGCAAAGCAAGAATTATTAATTATTCGATAGGAAAATTCTTACGTTACTCCATTTCTTAGTTATTTATTCGAAAATTTTTGTTCGAAATCAATTATTTGGTATGAAAATTCTTCTGATTCTCTATTACCTAATTATTTATTCGAAAATTTTTCTTCGACATCAATTGTGTTAGAAGTCAATTATTTGGTATGAAAATTCTTACGTTACTCCATTGCCCAGTTATTTACGCCACGGAAAATTTTTATTCGAAGTCAATTATCTCACAAGACAATTATTCGCTGTGGAAATTCTTTCGTTACTCTATTACCTAGTTATTTATTCGAAATTTTTTGTTCGAAATCAATTGTCTTAGGGAATTGGTTTCAATGAGAGGGGACAGGTTCGGTAAACTTTAGACATTCCTGTTGCCACAGAGAAATACAGGTTTCCTCTAAAGTTTGATTATTTTTTAAGATTGCTCTACTCGCAATGCTCCGTTTCACGCGACAGCAATAAACACCCTTGTAACCCAAACAACCGGTATTAACACGGGCCTAACATAGATTCGAGCATTTCGTCGTGCATCATTTAACCCCTTGCCTTACGATCTCGTGGCAAACTCGTGGCAAGAATTTCTGATATTGTTTAATATTAACCCTTTGCACTTGGACGTTTTTCACTGGAAATATTTGAACCCTTAACACATTGCGTACATACTTAGCTAATTGAAAAAAATATAAAATTTCAATCGAATTGATTATCTATTTAAAATATATTACATAACAATATCTGAGTTTTTCTATGTATAGTGATATAAGTTAACCTCGAAAATTGCCGGTATGCAATGTGTTAACAATCCAAGTTGTTCTGTATCAGCAACTAATTTTTATAGTATTCCTAGCGAAAATGAGAAATGCTTCGATCCTTTTTCCTTGTTAGTACAAAATTCGGAAAATCGAATAATTTTAGGGTAGCTTCTTTAAGATTCATTTAAATATTTAATACTATAACTGGCGCGATATTGGAGCCTACAGAGTTCAAAGGGTTAACATTTTCCGACGAGGTAAAGATATTTTGTGAAACTCGAAATCACACGTGCATTGAGGAACAAAGCTGTCATTTCAATGTTTCTCAACATTATACAAAGTATAATAAATATTAAATTTTATAATTTTATTGTATGAAATCGAGTGAGTCACCTCTCGAGTGCAAAGGAAGTGTCATTCAGTTGCGTTCAAATGAAACATTCTTCTTAGCAATTTGTATAGTTCAAAGTGAATCTAGATGTAAAGATCACCGAAGCTTTCGTTTTAATTGCGTATTATTAACGAGGAACAGTAACAAGCGAAACTGCGAAATGAAATCGTAGGGCAAGGGGTTAAACTGTACAAGCCAGCCGCGGCTATATACCTACTATTTACGGAGTTTTGAAAACAGTTGTTGATGTTGTATGATATTAAGAAATGTTTGAAAGCTTTATACGATGTTTGTTTATATTTTATTATCGCATTGTTACGGCACAATTTCTTCCGAAAGTAGGATAAGGGTCGCGAGCGTTGTGAATTCACGGGAATACTGTCGGCGATTGCGGTATCACTGAAGTTTCATTCGCGACGTACGGAAGCGAACGATTGTTCCGAAGGTTTCATTAGCACTAACGCACCGCGACCGGTCAAATAACGGTTTGAAAATTTTCGACGAGAATTCAGCGTTCCCCGTTAACGTTTGAACTACCGAGCGTTTAATCGTTAAACGTTGAACTAATGTAGTTGACACTAGATTTACGGATATTTACTATAAATCTGTTCAATCGTCATTAGAAACGTTAGTTCGTCTAGATTCTGGAGATTGGAGTTTCAACGTAGATAATTAAAAAACCCAAGGATTTACCGAATAATGTTTATAAAATTTAATATGAATTTGGCTCGTTCCGTAAATCTGTTGTTAATTTCCGATCCTGAGAATTGTAATAATATTTCTTCTGGTTTTTCCAAGTAAAACTATTTCTGAAACTATTTCGAGTATTTAACAATAATTGCGAAATAAGGAAATTGAAAACTGAAATTTTAGTACGGTAGTTTTATAGTTAACTTCATATTAATTCCCGTATTCTCTAATTAACCGGTTCCTCAATTTTTCTTATTCCAATTTCCCTGCTTCCAGAAAGAAAAATGTATATTTGTTGCCTTCACTTTATAACCACTTATTTGACTGGTAACGGTAGAAATAGGTATACAGAAAGTGTCGACATGTTTATTGTTAACCATGCTATTGTAGAAGCATGGGAACATTAAATGTATAAAGATACAAATTTACCGATGTTCGTGAGCTTTTTTATCGCCATTGCTTCACTCCATGGAATTTGGAATAACGAGACTCGAGAACAGCAGGGCCTACCGCTAAATTTAAATTTCTAATCGATAAAATCGTACAATGAAGCCTCCATGAAAATAACGTTAGTGTCTTCATGGTAACAGTAAGATTCTAAAAATGGTCGTTTTTATTACGCGTCTGTATCAAAGCTTTCACTTCGTTCGGAATGTAAATGACTGTTCGCGAATGACAGGTATTTTCATGTTACTTCCGTGAATCGAACTGTAGACTGTAAATTCCTGTAACGATAGAAACATTTGCATATATATCATCCGTTGCACGGAACCTGGCACTCACGGCTGATTGGCCAGAGTCGAAGACGCACGCCTGATTGGCTGACGCGCTGACGCCCGCCAATCGGTGGGGAGAGCCGCCTCCGACTCGCAATTGGATTTCTCGCAGCGACTGTCCCCGCCCCTATGACGTCACGAGTGCCAGGTTCGCTGCAACTGACGGCACATCAAGTTTTCCATTATTTTCCAGTATAGATCCAATCGACACTATTTCTACCGAAGGTATCAAATGACACTCTCTGAAATTTTAACCAACATTTTACTTAAACGTTGTTAGTTCTATAAATATTTTTATCCTTGGAGATAAAAGGGGTCAGACCCCTCGAAATGTTCATTTCAAATTATTTTCTAAATTTAGTTTATTGAACTCTTCAACTTTTCTAATAACGATTACAAGATTTACCAAAGTTCAATCGAAGAATAATTAACCATTTGCAAAGGAGCGTTTAGTATGCAAAAAACAGCAGATTCTACCAAATTACACATCGAATGATTAAATAATAGAGACTGAGGAAACTATGCACTGATTTCTGCTCGAATTGAATCATTTGGTTGTTAGTACTCCAAAGATGAAATTAAACGGAATATAATTTTTAATTATATGATACACTTTTTACTACACAGTAGACTATGAAAATAATTTTAAAAGTTTCATGTCTGTTGACACGTTCGGTAGAAACAGTGTGAAATGGATAAAGGAAACGAATGATTTATTAAATTAACCGATAAACTCTTCCAAATAAACATTCATCGAGGTATCTCGCGCCGAACGCGTCAAGTATCGACAGGTGACAGGCATTCTTGTGCGCCCGCCGCACAGGTGACCGCGTGCAGGTGAAGTATTCAAGTTTACGTGATGATTGTTCCGCGTTCCCACCGTGTGTCGGTATGTTTTCACAAATAAATATGTAATCAGTGTTATGTACGATAAGCTTGTACGAAGAATAATACATGGCTACGTTTGGAAGTACAATTTGAATGCTGTTTGTGTCCACCTGCGAACAGAGTTAATTACTTCCTGCGGATTAGCCGGCTAATGATCGTACGGTCGGTGCCTCGACATTGCCAGGCGAATTGAATTTGATGGAGACCGATATGAATCATTCATTGGAACGAACATTGTTCAAAGTTATTGCCGTCGAAGCTATTTCACAGGTGAAACAGATTTTTCCAGCGACTCCTCGGGATTTCACGAAATAAAGAGTTGATTTCCAATCGAATGTGTTTCGTTCGAGATCAATATGACCCTGAGCGTACACGTATATTTTTCATGATTTATTCATTGATTTGGAACACTAATTTCTCTTCTAAACGAATTTGGAGTTTAACAATACATTGGACATCTTGTTTCTATTTGAAAATACGATATGTTGATATGTCGAGTGAAAGTGTAAAATGATTATTCTCATGATTATGGTGATTACGGTTTTCGGAAAATTTAGTTTCCACGAAGTATCACAATTTTTCTTAATTATTCTGTATTATTATTAAATAATGAATATAGTAATAAATTTATTAGTTTTATTTATTGCTATGTTCATTATTTAATAATAATATAG